TTTGTCGCTTTAATTTAATTGCTTCTTTATTAAGTAAGTGCTAATCTAATAAACAAGCGTAGTAAAGGGGATATTAAGGGCTACACGTTTTATAGCAATATCGTATATAGTGTTGCTTCTAGCGGATACGCTAGCCTATCGTCGTTAACCTATAGAGGTAGCAGATCCTCTTCTTTAGAAAGATGTTTACTATACGGTATAGGTAGGTCTTCTATAAACGAGGAGGGTTTAATAGTATATATTTACTATAGTAGACCTATATACGGCGGCTACGTCTAATTAATACCGAGTTACTAGCGGTAAACTAGCCCTAGCTATTCCGTAGAGTAGCTAGCTCTTAAGCTATTTTATTTCGTCCTTACTATGCGAGTTACTAAGCGAGCTTAATTCTAAAGGCTCGTTACTCTCTAAGAGGTAGATTAGTATTACCTTAAGCTCTAAATTCGTCGCGGTAGAGGATAAAGCTATTAATAGTAGCTATATCGAGTAGGAAGTAGAAAAGCGGATACTATAGCTTACGAGCCTTATATTATGTATTATAATAAGAGCGGAGTTAATTATAGATATTAACACCCCCTATATTATCGTTATAGAAGGCCGTAATCGTCGGAATAACTATATTCTAAAGAGGGTATATAAAGCAAGGCTATACGTAGTTCCGAATAAATGTAGTAGTACCCTAGAGTTTTCGTCTTAGTCTCGAGATGCGGTCTAGCGGCTAATATCTAGTAGTAACGAACTATATAAGGTTCCTATCTTATTATAGGATATAGTATACGTTATAGATAGCCCTCGCTTATATTATATCGTAGGGGAAGCGTGTTACTAGCCTATTTAATCTAACTAAAGTAACGCCGCTCTTCTAAGTTCTCTTTCTAAAGGTAGCTCTAGCTTAAGGCTAGCTTTTAGAGCCGGCTCTAATCGTCCCTATTATAGTAATTCCCTAGTATCGTAGAATAGCTAGTAGCGGTATATTATTAAATAGATTATCTATATAGATATAGAAGAAATACTTTAAAAACGGCAGTTAAAGGACGAGTACTAGTATAGCTCTAGGAATCTTTAAGAGCTACTAACTTAGCGAGATTATTAGCTCGGGTTCGTTCTACTACTCGTATACGCTCGGACCGAAGTAACTCCGATATAGCTTCCGAATGCGGTTAATATTCGTCTAACTTAACGAAACTTTAATAACCTCCTTCTTTACTATAACACGCCTCTTAATAGGCTAGCTACTAGTAGCGATACGCCGAGTATTTTCTACTAATTACTATACTTTTTTCTTATTTATAGCGGCCTATTCTATAGCCGTTAACTCCTCTATAGTAAAGATATCTATATACTAGGGGTTATCTTTAAAACTCTCCGCTCTATAGTTAAACTTCTTAAATCCTTCCTTCGGCGACGAGAATAAGTAGCTCTAGAGGTATCTACGCTTATAGAGGGCTAGGATATAATATCTAATAGGGGTAGGCTTTCCCTTTATTATTATCTTATAAGAAGAACGCCCTATAAAACGAACTAATACCTCGTCTACGRATAYRTAAGAGCCTAGAGTTACTACCGTTTTAAAGGCCCTACGAAGGACGTCCGCTAACGGTAATATCTACTACTACGGCGGTATTCCCTTCTACTTAGCCTCTAGGCTTCTAAACTATAGATACGCCTTAATTTGCTTCTACCTCCGTAGCGATATAAAGTTAGTAATTTTATATAATAGCTACTTACTATCCTTACGCTAGTAGTCGCTTTTATCGTTTATTCTAACCGCTAATATATATAGGATAATTGCGACAAAAATCTTTATCTTTATAGTAGTTACTAGCTTCTATCGATTRCTATATACCTATATACTAGCCGYATCYCCTCGAATACGATCCTTATACTAAGCGAGCCCTTTAATTAGAGCTAGAACTRTCCGTATAAAGCGGAATATAGCGTACTCGTTAGTATATATTACTATTATCTCGAATACCGCTTCTAAAAAGAAGAGTTTAAAGAGCCGTAACTAGATACTAGCTACCGCTTACTAGAACGAACTTAGTAGGTTTACTTTACGCTCGTACTCCTCGCTAATAGGGTGTTTATAAGGCTAGAGCGGTTTATAGCGCATATTATTTATAATATCGCCTTAATTACTAGTAGTAGCTAGTYRCTAATCCTCTTTAAYACTATCCTTAATAATAGCTTCCTTAGTTCCGGCTTCTTCGTTAATACTAGCCTCTTTAATAGGCTYCTTATYTATACCGGTAGGTTCGAATTTATCTCTAAGAGTAGCTCTTATTCTAGTAGAGCTAACGATAAACTTAGGCCTATCTAACTTAGGCCTATTAAACGACTCGAATTAATCCTTAACTATATWCTTATTATCGCTATTAGCAATATTACTATTACTATCTTAATCCGGAGGCTAGTCCGCGTAAAAAGAAGCTATAGCGCTATTATATACTAGCCCTTAGTTATTTATCTAGAGTAAGGTTTGAATTTAATAGGAATTACGCTAATTACCTTATTAAATAGGGGGGGTATACGGGCCTCTTACATCCTTATAGGCGTAACATTAGACGAGCGCTAATTAATGCTAATGCACGCTACTCCGGAAGCACTATTGGCCATGAGTCTATACAGGGATAGGCAGAGTGGGGTCTCGGATCGGGTCTCTGCAATGGTGATCCGTGCGTGCTGCAGTCATCATCAGTGCGCAGACTTCACCCGTCCTCATCTCACTCCTTCCTATCTCCATATGCTCTAAGGTGGGCGTTTAGCATGCTCGATGCTCTCATCAACGCTGGTTTTGCGGGAGCAGCTCCAAGGTGCACCGTGACTCCATCCTGTGTGACGTGCAGGCGTTGTTGACTGCGTTTGCACGGCCAAGTCTGCGGCCTGGACGCGAAACTCTCCAGATGCTTGTTTCCCCAAATGGCCGTGGCAGTCTGTCCATCTCAAGCACCTCATTCTTCATGCAGTCCGTTTCCACAAGTTAAGTCTCAATTCGACTGCTCTTAACGTTCTCGTACTCGTCCGTAATCTTCAGGCTCCGGTTCACTTATCTCGGACGTCTTTCTTGTGCGAGGAGAAGCCCAAACTACATGTAACTTCACTCTTTCAAATCTCTCTCAGCTGAAGAGAACCTCCACCTTGCTCTTGGACACACGCAACACCAACACCAACACCACAACAAAACTTTTCCCCCTCATCACATCAAACAGTCGGGCAAAATGGCTCAGCCAACACTCATCAACAGTGCACGCGCTGGAGATACAAGCATGCTCGGCAATGCCACGAATCAGCCACTCCAGCAATCTGCTCAACCAAGCCCCGCCGCGGCTGACACCCCTTCTCCGCCGACCAGAGACCCCGCCAACAAGCTCTTCTCTGTTTGGGAACTCGTCGAAAATGTGCTTTTGCACCTCACTTTCAACGACCTCGTCCGCATCCAGAATGTCAACCGGACCTTCAGATCCACTGCTCAGTCCTCAAAGAAGCTCCGGCAAACTCTCTTTCTGGCTCCTCGCGCGGAGCTTCAGCCGAAGCAGTGGCTGTACATCAAGGGGTGGGGCGAGGAAATCTCGAAATTGTTCAGCGTTCCTGTGGATGGTACAATCAATCGACTTGACGATAGCTCGATTCAACGTGGGTTCAATGCTGCTGATAGATGTATCAAGCAAGTTGAGCGTGGTATCTTGCGGAAGCCCATTCATCATGCCTCGCCCGCGGTGTTGAACCCGCTTGTGTTCAACAAGAACGACCGGGGATACTATGGATTTCCAGCCGCTCCAGGCTGGCATCGCACACTCGCCGGCAAGAAGACGAAGCCGCCAGAAGCAACGGGAGAAATGCTKCTCACGCAACCACCAGTCTGCGAGCTGGACCTTCGCATCAATAAGTACACAAGCAAATATGCGATGAACAACTACTTCAAGGTTCGAAACGACGCTGGATTGACGGTGAATGATGTGCTCCGTGAACTCGAAAGCCATAGGCAAGCTGGAGATGAGACATGGGTGTTCTTTCGAGAAGACGTATGGGTCGTCACTCAGTCTGAAAAGAACCTTTTCGATGAGCGCGGCGCCGACGAATGGAGAGAACTCGAAGCCAGCACGAATCAGATGCGCGGGGGATAGGCCGCGGACATGAACCAAGGACGAAATCTGGTCCCGGTGAACAGGGATGATACGGGACTCCGTGAAGCCTGCTTGATGCTGGGCCCTGGCATCCAAAGTGGTGGACAATGGAACCTGGCGTGGCGTTGCCTGAGAGAGCATCATAATAGGTAGCGTGTAAAATGTGGGTTGTCCCCGCAGTGTCACGAAGTCAAGTCTCATTGTTGGTATCAGAGTGGCGGTCACCCCGGGCAGAGCTGTCGATATGAGAGATCACCACTAAGAGCAGCTTCCTGAACTGCTCTCTCGATTGAATGACGGGTCACTCTGCCAGTGACAAGGATTCTAGCGGGCCTAGAATCGTCGATTCTGTAGAGAGCGAGGCCTTGGGGCATTGTGGGGATGCCTGAGGATGTCTTGTCTGATCCTCACATCGACAGCTCTGGTCACGCATCACGCACTAGCCCCACTTCACTTCACTCCTACTTCCTCTTCTTCTCTCATCACAGCCCGCTTTCTAACTTCGCACAAACATCATCGGAATCAAGCGGCTCTCCACTTGATATCATCAACCAAGATGAGAAAACCTGCGCGCAGCCGCAAGAGGCCTTCCGACAACACGTTCGCGTCACTTGCGCCCGATGAAGCGGATGAGCTTACTCCGCAGTCGCCCCAACTTCAGCCCGTCGACAGCCTGTACGCGTCAGTTGCGCCCGATGAGCTCAGCCTGCCGTCGCTCCAACCCCGGCCCGTCGACAAAATCATCACCACATATGAGCTTCTTGAGAACATTCTAGTGCAACTCGACACCGAAGACCTCTTCCGCGTCCGGGGTGTCAACTACAACTTCAATTCCACGATTGAGACTTCCAAGACCTTGCGGCAGAACCTCTTTCTCTCGCCTCACGTGTATGCTGAGCCAGAGCGCTGTATGATCTTCCACATCATCAGTAGCGATCGGGTAACGTTCACCTTCGGCGTTCCTGATGAAGGGGCAGAGCATCTGCACCTACGCGCTCAGGCTGGCGAGTACATCAGGCAAGAGGCGCGCATTCGGAACGGCTCTGTGATCCGCCGTAACCATATTCGGCAAGAGTATCATTCCTGTACTGTCCCCGTAGTGCTGAATCCGCTGGTTTTCTATTCCGGACCAATGAATGAAGATGAAGCGTACGTTCGTCACGGGTTTGCAAACGCAGATGAAAAAGTTCGTTGCTGCACCATCGCCAACCCGTCTGATATTCCACGTCAGCTGGGCAAGATGCTGACGACACAGCCACCGGTGCTGGAACTCGAAATAAGACTGCCTATCCACAAGTGGCGTTGGGGCGCAGATGGATGGATAACGGTCCGGAATGAAACCGGTGTGCGGTTAAAGGACGTCGCAAGGTCGTTGAGAGCGCACGCCATTGCTGGAAAAGTAGACATCCGAATTTGCTTCAAGKATGACCAAATTTCCACTGTCCTTCAGTCTGCGAAACGTTACTACCAGACAAAGTGTGATTCAAATATGGTGGAGTTGAACGAGCGTTTGGCAGATGGCCAGTGTTCTCAGTTTGTCGATCCGGCCTTCATCGAGTGGGCGAGGACGAATTTCGGCATGGATCTCGACTTCAACGAATGGGAGCAAGCGGCCAGGAAATATTATAGCGTGGGCCACAAGTTTAGACGGTGAAATGAGCTTCTGTTTGAGATTCAGTGGCTACAGGCACGAGAAGATGAAGCTGGAGGGATTGCTGGCTCGGTGCTCGCCGCAGTTATGAGCTTTGCATGTATGGCGGTGTATGGTACATCTTGCTGTCCCCTAGAAGCGTCTCTTCAATTCAAGCGACACGGAAAAAAAGTTAGGAACAATGGAGATACATGGCTCTTATTTCCAATGTCTTTCCATTCTCTTCCCTTGCCGTCCTTGGCAGCGTTTCCTTCGGCTGCGGAGTACCATCATATATCGATCGATAGCGGTAGTAATCGCTGGGAAGGTACCGAAAAAGATTTGTTACATTCTCCTGATCGCTGTCTCATCACCGGCAAACCCAAGCCGCCGGGCAATGTGGGCAAGATGCAGCTAACACAACCGCTTGTCTGCAATTCATTTGTATCGATGCGGGGTGATGGGTACGAGGCCACATTATAACGATAGAGAAAAGTCTTGGATTGACGGCTGAGSATCTCTTGAGGTTGCTGGATCGACCAGAAAGTGGAACTTCTCCTAGGGCTTGATATCTATGTGGTCCTCCCATTCGAGACGGAATGCTTTGACGCTTTGGAAAGGAGAACTTGGATTGGGATGGAACGTGCAGCTGCGAAGAAGGGAAAGAAGATGGTTCGGATTGATTGAGGAAATGTGGAGGCCAATAAGTATACTTTGTCGGGATGATTGAGGATTAGTCTCGATAAGGCAGGCGCCGCGGTCGATACACTATTGCTGCTCTTTGCGGTATCATCCACTGTCCGAAGGTTGAAAGTATACTCGTGGAGTTGCAGTCGACGTAACTTCTTCATTTCTTCATTCGTCGCGCTAGGTGGATGTCCCCTCGGATCAACATTTTACCGTGAACGTTAGGTAAGCGCGGGGCAGGGTCGAGGTGAATGAACAAAATTCGGCGATTGAGCTTGAGGGTCCACACACGACACCCGAGCACGACTTCTCTCTCTCACCAACATCTTGGACATGGCAGGTTGAGTGCCTCCATCACGATGAATTTTCTTGATCTCCCATCAGAGCTGCTCTTCTTGTGGCATGCGCATCGCACAGAATTTCTCGTCGCCGCCGGAGTTTTCATCGCGTTGATCCGCCTAACGGCGCATTGGCGCAGCACCAGATCCAAAGTCGTCCTCACACCGCGATCAAGCACCCCCACCACCGAAAAACCCGATCCGATATCCATTCCTGCCGTCAAAGATACTCCCGCACGAATTGCTGTCAAGAAAGTACCGAGACGAGTCAAAGGCGTCAAAAACCTCAAACAAACCTCTCAAGTCCAAGAAACGACACCCATTTCCGCCATCCAACCCTACGTTTTCTACTTTACCCTCGGCGGTAGCACCAAATCTCACGCTGAACGACTCGCATCCACATTCCCCACGTCCGACTCTCGAATCCTCCCTCCTCAACTCCACGATTTGGCGGAGATTGATCACGATGACTTCYTCATTTCCCCTCCCGCAACACAAGATGCAGAGACGGCGGCATTCTACATGATACTGCTGCCTAGCTATAATATCGACACGGAATTGGCAAACTTCTTGGGACATTTGGATGAGACACACCATGATTTCCGAATTGATACAGCGCCGCTGAGGGGATTGGCGGGATATGCAGTGTTTGGGTTTGGAGATCTGGAGGAATGGCCGAGTGAGGAGGAGGGATTCTGTTCACAGGCCGTGGAGGTGGATCGATGGATGGCCAAGTTGACGGGCAGGAAGAGGGCGTTTCCACTGGGAATGGGAGATGTGAAGGATAAGGTGGGAATGGAGGTGCAGTTGGAAGGATGGAGGCGAGGGGTGTTGAGTGTCATGAATGATTTGAGTGAAGGGAAAGGATTGGGAGAGGGTGTTCGTGGCAGTGGCGATGCGGTGGAAAGTGAGGATGAAGGAGAGGAAGCGCAGGATGGTGACGAAGAGACTCTCATCTCCAAACCCCAAGATCTGGAAGATATTCGACCTCCCATTCCCGTCGACTTTACCACGACATCCACCAAAACTTCCACTTCTCACATCACCAACATACCCAAAGAAATGGTCCCCATCAACTCCCCTACCCACACCTCCCTCACCAAACAAGGCTACAGCATCATCGGCTCCCACTCCGGCGTCAAAATATGCCGCTGGACCAAATCTGCCCTCCGCGGTAGAGGATCCTGCTACAAATACTCATTTTACGGCATCGCATCCCATCGCTGCATGGAAGCTACTCCGTCCTTGTCTTGCTCGAATAAATGCATCTTCTGTTGGCGCCACGGCACCAACCCCGTAGGCACAACTTGGAGATGGCAAGTCGATCCTCCCGACATGATCTTTAAAGGCATGCTAGAAGCTCATGTGAAGAAGATCAAAATGCTTCGCGGCGTTCCCGGGGTCCGAGCAGAGAGATTCCAGGAAGGCATGGAAGTGCGACATTGCGCTCTTAGTCTCGTGGGAGAACCGATCTTCTATCCGCATATCAATGAGTTGTTGGGAATGTTACACGCGCAACATATCTCCAGTTTTCTGGTCTGTAATGCGCAACATCCGGATCAACTGGCTAGTTTGGGACCCGTTACGCAGYTATATGTGTCCATTGATGCTTCGAATAAAGAGAGTTTGAGGAGGATCGACAGGCCTTTACATCGAGATTTCTGGGAACGATTCCAGAAATGTATGGAGATCCTCCGGGAGAAACGGGATACGCATCGGACAGTCTTCCGTCTTACTCTTGTAAAGGGCTTCAACATCGAAGAGGAAGTTTCCGGCTACGCGGATCTTGTGGAGAAAGCTCTTCCTTCATTCATTGAAGTCAAAGGTGTGACGTATTGTGGTACCACCACAGCCGCTGGAGCGGGACTTTCGATGCAAAATGTTCCTTTCTATGAGGAAGTCCAAGGTTTCGTCCTGGCGCTCGAGAAGGAGTTAGGGAGAAGAGGGTTGGAGTATGGAATTGGAGCCGAGCATGCGCATAGTTGCTGCGTGTTGTTGGCGGATCGAGGCAGATTTTTCAAGGAGGGAAGATGGCATACGTTGATTGATTATGAGAAGTTCTTTCAACTTGTGGAGAGTGGAAAGGCTTTTGGTCCTGAAGATTATGTTGGAGGTCCTACTGCGGAATGGGCCGCTTGGGGCAAAGGAGGTTTCGATCCTAGAGATGAGAGAGTTGATCGGAAAGGGAAACCAAAAGAGGTCCAGGCTGCAAACTATCCCGATCTTGTGGACGGGAAGAGGGTGGTGGAGATTTGAAATGGCCGTGTGCAATGAGGGAGAGGTTTTCAGGACAGAGCTATGAGATTTGGATGTATTGTATTGATGAAGTCCAATGACATTTTTGATCATTTCGATACCAGACATTCGTCTTTGCCTCTACTAATGATAGGTGCGCTGGACTCCGAGATTCTCCAGACTGTGCCTCATCCTTGTATTTTGTGTGTCTCCAGGTAGTAGTGTTGATTTTAATATTAATATTGATGTTGATGTTGATGTTGATACCTTGTTGATGTCCTGCCGAACACATCCGGGAGCCCTACCTTTTTGTGCCTTGCTTTCGCCAATCTGGATCTAGTTCAGCTGGAGGAAAGCCAATCACGTCACGATCGCGTCGTTTCATGGTTGCAAGTCAGGAACGTGCCTTGCTTACTCGCAACCTGTTGGAGCTCATTTCTCCATCATCCATCCCATCATCCCAGATGACCATGTAACCCGCCGGAACTCCAAAACATCCTCATCAACCCCAGCATCCATGATGTCCGCCCACTGTGTTGATCTCGATCATCCGCCCTGGTTCCCCACGGCCCTTGCCGCGCTCCTCGTCCTTGGCATCCTCGCCTCGTACCTTCCCCAACATCACAAAATCCTCTCGCGCCGCACCTCGGAAGGCCTCTCTCCTTGGTGGGTCCTCCTCGGTGGCCTCTCCTCAATCTTCGCTCTAGCCAACATCCTCACCCTCCCGACTTCCCGCGCCGACATCTCTTGTTGCACTACAATCTCCGGCGGAGCTTGCGCGGCAGCGTTACTGGGAGTGGCACAGATTGGAGTACAATGGAGCTGTTTTATGGTCATTGTGGTGTTGTATCTRGTCTTCTTCCCCAGAGATGAAGGCGAAGCGGAGGATTTGACGAGTTCGACAGCGACGCTTACGGAGGGGGGGAAGAGAGGGGAGGGCAAGGATCAGTTGATTGTGGGTGGGAGTATCTTCATCGCCGTGTTGATCGTTGCATTGGTCTCTGTGGTGCTGGTCGTGGCCTTTCCGGAGAGGACGCAGACGTGGGCGGATCTGCTGGGGTCGGTGTCGGGGGTGTTGGCGGCCATTCAATATCTCCCGCAGATCTACTACACGTGGGTGTTGAAGGATCTTAAGAGTTTGAGTCTGCTCACGTTGGTGGTGCAAGTCCCGGGAGCTTTCGTTTTCGCCTTCTCGCTCTGGTTGCGGGTGGGTTGGGAAGGGTGGAGTACGTGGTTGGTGTACATCGTCACGGGGGTGTTGCAGGCCGTCTTACTGGGCATGGCGTTGAACTATTTTTCTCTTGAGAGATTGAGGAGGAGTGAGAGGGACGAGCACAGTTCAGACGAGTATGATGAGGATGATGAGGAGGACGATGGAGATCAACACAACGGACACGCGAGATCTGCTACGGAAAGGACCGCGCTGCTCCATACCGATGCCGATGACAGCACCGAGTGGACGAATCAGAATGGGACGATGAAGCGATGGCATGTGCCGAGCGACTAGGTAGTGTGTGTGTGTGCTGTGCTATGCTAGGTTCAGTGTGGTATGTTGCCAGTTCCAGTTCCAGTTCCAATATCGAGCATTCTCTCGTCATCGCTTTTCAATGACCTACCGCGTTCAATCTCTTGCAAGTCTGTCAATTTACACCGTTTGTTGCGCGGGAAGTGGATCAAGTCGACGTGGCTCCGTCATCGCCTGTCCATCCTTCCTTTCGCCTTCGGTCCCACGTCGTGCAAGCTGCAACAACAGCTCCCGCGACATCACATTGTCGCCAGTTCTCATTCAAGATGAGTAGCGTTCCCTTTGATCGGAGAGCGGCGCAGGATGCATTCCTGGACTCCCTCGCAAAGTACACACCAGGTGCCATCTCTCGAGTCTCGGGTCTCCATCTAACACATCCAGGTCCTTCAACAATCCAAACTCCTCGCCCGACCTCCGCATCAAATGCGACGGACAGGAATGGCTCTGCCACAAGCACGTACTCACGCGCCAGTCAGAATGGTTCCAAAAAGCCTGCAATGGCGGATTCAAGGTCGGTGATGTCGCCTTGACCTTCTGTTTCAACCCACTGACAAGCCTGCAGGAATCCAAAGCGGACACCATCGAGCTCCACGATGATGACAAGGATGCCGTCAGCGCTTTACTAGAGTTCTGCTACGCCTTCACCTACACTGGCGACCACCTCCCAGCCTTCCATGTCCGTGTCTTCGCTCTGGCCGAAAAATACTTCGTGCCGGGTCTCACTCAGCTCGCCGCCGACAATTTTTCCACGACAGGCGCGCACGACGCTACAACTCTCCGGAACATCACAGATGCCATCTCTGTGGCCCGTACCGCCGTGTACGACCAGGGAAATGTACTCCGCACTGCCATCACGAAGCTGGTCATGCTGCGCGGAGACTCTCTCCTCACCGGCAAGTGTCCGGCGTTCGATGCATTGCTGGATGACCACCCTTCCCTCGCTGCGGACATTGCACGCGCAATGGCTAAGAAGTGGATTACCGACGAATGGGAACGCGAGTCTGTACTTTACTGGTGTCCCTGCGGTTGCGGTGCTGTGTTCAGAAAGCGAATCCTTGGAGGCGAAAGCTACACTTATTTCTGTGTCCAGGCAGGTGAAGATTATGAACTTAAAGGTTGGGAGTGGGACGTGTATCGCTGCGRCGAGTACTGATCCAGGAAAGACATGTGTCTGAGGCCGAGTCCTGTGGCGGAATTACATAGCCTAAACGGAGCGCTTTGTATCCTAGGTAATGTGTGCAAAAAATCCGTGAGAAGTTCTTCTTCATATCACTCCAGCTCAAATATTTCATTCTTGCCCATCTCAACGTCGTTCTCGAGCTATGAGAGTCTTTTCGATATCAGCGACTACGTCCCAAATGGCCACGCATCTTACGAGCGAAGGAGATGAAATGCTCGTAGACTCGCACACGGCACGATTCAGTCTCCTTATTCGATTGATATTACAGCGACATTATGGAAAGGTTGCCGCTGAGTGATGGCTCGGACATAGGTTCTCCTTAGTAGTGGTAGTCTATCGTCCAAGATAAACAGAGAGCAGCTCTCCAGGACGAACAAGGGCCAGTGAAAGTTGAAGATTGCTGCATCTCCTTGTGGTGAATCGACGATAGCGCTTACAAACGGGTAGCTATAAGCACAACATGCAGCAGCCCTGCGAAGAACAGAATACGGAGGATCAAATCTCTTCTCGAATGATGTCTTCTTATCGTGCTTCGTTGTTACATAAGATACAAGAATGTTGCCTGCTATAGGTACATTGGGCGGCGACCTTCAAATTCACCGGGCCTTGAAACATTCAACCGGGGAATGCCAAGCAAAATCACAAGGGAAACGACCTGCTCTCGAACTCCCTCTTCCTCWYWKTTYYKWAAWRAWA